TATATAAGTTACAATCACTAAGCAATAAGCAACTTTAAAACAATCAAATATCCTTAGTAGATTTAAGTGACTTCTTCTCTACTGCACATTAATGCATTTCCTACAACTTCTTCTTCAAAGAAAGATTACAATTTGATCTTCATCAGGTCTCCACTCAGTAATAGTATTAGTGTGTTGCCAGAATGATTGCATAACACACTAGTTTGGCCCCTTGAATCAAGGATATTTGATGTTAGCACACTTCAATCTAGATGCATATTACCTTAGCAAAATGCCATCAGGCACCCACCATCATTAGGCTTTCGTCTGATATTTGTTGGTGGTTCTTCACTTTATATCAGCCCTCATCGGCTCCTCGCTCAACTACTGATAGTCGCACATCATCAAATTCTCTCCTTCAGCTCTACACTCGACCATTTACTGCCAACAAACTTTAGCTTAATCATCCATCGCCGACAAGCTTTGGCTCAAACATCATCAAAATTCTCCCCGTCTACTCATCACTTCTGGTTCTCCTCCTAGATACTATTATTGCTAGATCTTGTCAAATCACCCTCACATACAAGCAGTAATTGATCTTCTTCTGATAAGGATTATCTATTAAGAAGATAGCCTCTTATCATGACTCCTACACAAGAGAGGTGTACTGAAGCTTGATAGGGGAATGCTGCCTAGTTATGATAGTAAAATGCCTCCAATATAAGAAGAAGTTCACAAGTGAAGACTAAGGAGAAAAGACATCTCCTTCTACACAAGAGAGGGGCATTAAATCTTGATAGGGAATTCCACCTATCTATGACATTGGAATGCCTCCAATGCAAGAAGAAGTTTGCAAGTGTAGACTAAGGAGAAAAAACATCTCCTTCTACATAAGAGAGGGGAACTGAAGCTTGATATGGGAATGTCTCCTATCTATGATAGTGGAATGCCTCCAATGTAAGAAGAAGAACACGAGAGAAGAATAAGGAAGAAAACATCTCCTTCTACACAAGAAAGGGACACTGAAGCTCGATAGGAGAATGCCACCTATCTCTGATAGTGGAATGCCTCTAATATAATAAGAAGACTAAAGGAGAAGAAAAGTAAAGGTTGCAAAAATTCTAACTTCTACACCAGAAGAGGGGCACTGATTTTGCGCAGGGAAAGTCACCTATAAAAAATAATAGATGCCTCCATTATTAGAAAGTTAGAATGAGGGAGGATAAAGAAAAGAAACGACTGCCAAAATTTCAACTTCTACATAAGAAGTGGGGCACTTATTAAAATAGGGAAAGTCACCTACATAAAATAACAGAATGTCTCGACTGTAAGAGGATTGACATAGAAGAAGACAAGGGAATGAAATTTTTTTTCCTTCTACACTAAAGAGGGGCGCTGAATTAAGTAGGGAAAATCACCTACGAAAAATAGCAGAAAGCTTCTAAAGCACAAAGAAAAATGGGAGAAAGGAAGGGAAAATTTCAACTTCTGTTTAAGAGGAGGGGCACTGAGTTAAGTAGGGAAAGTCACGTACTAAAAAATAGCGAAATGTCTCGACGGTCAAAAACCTAGAAGGAGAAAAGAAGAAGGTGCTCATTTCTGCGCCGCCGATAGTGGTGATGATGACCGGTCGGCGGTGGCGGCGGCCGGCTGGTTGGTTTGGCCGATTCGGTTGCCCACTCTATTCTAGGTTTGATTTTTGCATGAAAATGCCAAATCAAATTTTTATTGGGGTCTTCGGGACAATTTTTTTACGTTTGGGACTCAATTTCGACAGTTTTAAAGCTATTTGAGGCTCCTACATGCAAGATCAAAATTTAGATTACATAGAAAATTCTCTAAAGTTTGTGATGCATATATTCAGACTCCTAGGGCATCGACATCCAAAAATAGGGGGGCAACTGATATGCCATAAAAAAATTGTCTTGATCGGGCATGAATCTTGAGGCAAAAATTAAGTTAGAAACTTCATAAAATAAATCCAGGATCACCTGAACTTTGATTTCAGCAAACTTATAGTCAAAATGAGCAACTCAGAAATACGAACCCAATGACACCAAATTCAACTCAATCTGAGCCCAAATGAATCCAAAAAAAGACCCAAAGCACTAATTGAAGGTTTAAACCACAATTTGAATTACCAAATGGTTTCCAAACATAACGTGCTTATAGTCGAATCGAGCGACTCAATGAGATGAATCCAACGAGCCCAAGATTGCCAAAATTTGACATCATTAAGACCTTCAAATGCCTGATGAATGGTATATGATCAAGGGATTTAATATCGATCGTCCGTCTGACCACTCCCTAATTACCCCTGATCTTTCACCTATTTACAATCCATGCCACTCTAGAATATCTATAAACAGACCCCTAATTTCTCATGAGAGGAAACGAAAGCAAGAAGAAGAAGAAGAAGAAGAAGAAGAGAAGAGTAGGAGAGAAGAAACTCCTCCTCGATTACAACTAGGATTTTGCCTGACTTCTACGGGAAGTTGGAATTCCTCCCGACCTCCTACTAATGCTAGACTTTTCCCCGACCTCTAAGTGATGCTGAAATTCCACCCGAATTCCAAGTGATGTTGGAATTCCACCCGACCTCCAAGTGATGTCGAAGTTTCACCCGACGCCCAAGTGACGCAGGAGTTTTCCTCGTCCGCCAATTGACGTTAGAGTTCTACCCAATGCAGGACATCTACTCGTCTCCAAGTTTCTACCTGACACCAAACTTATACCGGTTGTTGGACTTTCATTGGACATCTATCCGATGTTGGGTTTCTTTCCATTGTTGGACTTCTACCCGACATCATCCTTCTGACCTTAGTCGTCAGACAATAGTCCTTCCAACATAGGTCGCCCGCAGACTACGATCCTTCTAACTTATGTCTCCCATCGAATACAGTCCTTCTGACCTTCATCGCCCGCTGATTTTGATCCTTCTAACTTATGTCTCCCACTAACTACAGTCCTTCCGACCTCCATCACCTGCTGACTACGGTCCTCCTGACTTACATCGCCCACCGACTACAGTCTTTCCAACCTTTGTCACTCGTTGACTACGGTCCTTCTGACTTACATCGCTCACCGACTACTGTCCTTCTGACCTCCATCGCCAACCAACTACTGTCTTCTTGACTTACGTCGCCCGCCAACTATAGTCTTTCCAAGCTCCATCAACAGACAACTATCTTTATGACCTCAGTTGCCTGCTGGCTACGATTTTTCTAACCTCTGTCACAAGACTATGATCCTTCTAACTAAACGAAGCATCAATAGTGATTCTTTGTAATCTCATCAAGTAATGTACTCTATAAGATATACATTAAGCTAAGGCCTTCCCCTAAGGAAGGGCCTCATTTGTAATCAACTACAATACTAGTGGATTCATTCAAACTGGGCTAGGCCCCATGGTTTTCCTATTTTCAAGGGTTTTTCCACGTAAAAATATTGGTGTCTCATAAATGCTAGACCCTCTCTCTTTATCTATGTGTGTGCTGGATCTTCGTACAATGCTAAAACATTAAACTTTATATTTCTCTACCTCCGTGAATACTCTAGTATGCAACATGGACCATAAGAACTCAGGGCAAGATGTAAGCTATTGATAAGCAAGGGTCTAATATAAGAAGAAAAATGAAGTCAAATTATTCTAATTTATAAAGATATGAACTTGGTGTGTTTTTCATAATAGTATGTAATTAAAATTTTAAATATATGATGATTTAAAATATTAAAATTTTAAATTTCATTCATAATCATTCTATTCCACCATTAATCACTTTTAGAAAACCTTAGGGAGCTCTTAGTTAACACTTGATAGAATAATACCTAGTCTTATTTTTAATACTATTTGGCATACTTAATATCATTGGAGTTCTGTTAATAATTTAAAACGTAATCATACAAATCCCTCTACATATCTAAGGCTTTAAATACCCACTCCCACAATATGGCCCACTATTATTACATTGGATTTAAGAGCCCTTGCTTGGATTAATTATTTTGTGCAGACATCGAACACTGTTTAGAGACCAACCAGAATGTATCAGGTCACTCATTTGCTCAATACTATGGCTCAAAATTTGTAGTTGAAACTTTTTAAAAGGTCATTTTAATTTCATTAGTAAGATAAATTATGTGGTTTACATTGACAGTACAATGGTAGTTATAAGATAATTCAAATCCTTGTGATTGATTCTCGACTCACCTCTTATTAAATGAACGAAAAATGCACTTGTGTAAAATTCAATCTTTGCATAATTCAGAACCATATCATATTTTGTTGCAAGTAAACAATAACCTTTGTCAAGTTTTTAGTACTATTATTGAGGACTCTAGTTACTTATCTGATTATTTGCTCATATTGTTTAAGAAATTAGTAATTTAATGTTACTATTTTTCTTATTTATATTTTTTGTTATTGAGTTGTATTTATTTATTGCTAAAATTTTGAGTTGATTAAGTTAGCTTGTATCTTCTTTTACTTTACAATACATTTTGTAATTGGTAATTGTGGTGTTGTATGAATTATAAAACTGGTAGGGTGATATGTTATTTGATTAAGAAATATAAAGAACCTTAAAAAACCTAGAAAAAAAAAAAACATAACCATTAGAGATGGCCAAACCAAATTTAGAGATACCCACCTAGCTCACCTAGAACCCTTAGATAGTCTGCCAATCCCATGGTAGAGGGTATTCACTAAAGCATCTATGAACATAATTTTCAAGCAAAAATTTTTGAGATCGAACATGTGATCATCTAAATGATCATAAATTCATAGTTTTGGGGAACTCCTATAGAGGATCCCAACCTAGATATAGCTAGTTTCTTAGAGATATATTTTATATTTAAGTATAGCCAAGCCTATAATAATGTTATTAAACTTTAATTAGTTCCTTTTCATTAAGGGATAAGGAGAAGATGTGGTTGAACTCCTTACTCATAGGCTCTATCACAATATTGAATGATTTGGCTCATAAGTTCCTAACTAAGCACTTCCCTCCATAAAAAAAATTGCCATGATTAGGAAAGACATTACTTCCTTCACTCAATTGGTTGGAGAGTTAATTTATGAAGCATGAGAAAGGTTGAAAGAGTTACTTTAAAAATGTACCCATAATATCATTTTTGATTACTTGATCATCCAAAGTTTTTATAATGGATTTGTAGGATCCTTAATGTTGATTATAATTATATTCACAGAAGGGCATTAATTTCTAAACCCTTTGATGAAGCCAATGCCATAATTGAGGAGATGGCCACCAATAACTTTTAATGGCCTTAGATAGGGTAAATCCTTGGAAAGTAGCTAGTATCTAATAAGTCTAATGCCTTGTCCATCCTAATAGCCCAATAAGCAACTATTTCTATTATGTTTGAGAACCTTGGATTTAGTTCATCCCTAAGACCATCAATGCTTATAAAGGAAAATATATTTTGTTCATATAGTAATCCTATTGCCTCTAGAGTATATACCTTAAATATTATTAATAGACAAAATATCCCCTATAGGTTAACATGATCAACCTAGGTTGACTTGGTCAACTATGTTGATCAAGTGTTTGTGTTTGGGCTCCACAGGTTTGGTTTGATATTTTGAGTCTAGTGGAAGTAATTTTTTGGGATAGAAAAGGTCATTTAAATCAAATTGACGATTTTGACCCTTAAGAGGCTATTTGGTCAACCTAGATTAACTTGGTCAAACATATTGACCTAGGGTTTGGATTTGAGTCCAACAATTAAGTTTAATTTTTAGAGACTATTGGAGGTGGTCCCATGGTTTGAATTTGTCATTTTAGTGAAAATTACCAGTTGGACTCTTAAGGCGTTTTCGAGTCAACTTTGGTTGACTTGGTCAACCAGATTGACCTAGGGCATGGGTTTAAGTTCAAAGTTCTCCCAATGATGTTAAAGATCCATTAGAGGAGGTTATATGGTTTGATTTAAATAGTTCATATAGATGTTTGGAGAAAACTTTAAAATTGCCCTAAAGGGGCATTTTGGTCATTTTACCACTGGTCCACTGCGGGTCAAAATGGGTTCACCAAAATTTAGTTTAATGCTTAAAATATCATGATTAAGGGTCTAGATATGATCAATCGCTTTAGAGGAGGCTCCAAGGTCAAATTCCATAGGTTAGAGGGTCCAATGGCTTATGTCGTAAATAATTGAAGCTTTTAGAGCCTTCAGGTTTTGGATCATTTTCTTGGATTACAGACCTCATATTGAGCTCAAATTTTGGAGGGTTGAACCTAGGGACGTGGTTAATCAATATGAAATTAATAGGTCATGATTTTGAGGTCATTTTACAGAGGTTTGAAATGTTGGAAAAATTACTATAAAAGGCTTTTAAGACTTAGCCCTTTTAGCCTTAGATTTTGGCCTAGATTTCTAGGTTTGAACTGGATTTTGGATTTGATTATTTGAATTAAAATTATCCACTTCACTTAAAATTTGTTGAGTAATTTTAAATGATTGGATAAGATTGAAACTAGATTGGAAACTAGTTTGAAGGCTGGATTGAGGTTTGAATTGGAGTCTGAATTTTGAACTAAATTAAAGTTTATATTTTGATTTAACTGAGGCTCTAGAAGATTGACACTTGGATGAATATCAATTATCAGATCAACAATTGAAGTTCTAGAAAGGCCCTTGTGACCTCATATAAAAATAATGTCAACAGGAATGAGCCTCCGCAAAGATCTCTCCCTATGATGTTCAATATAAGGAGGAAGTTGACTATAGAACCTATAAGGGCATTCGTAGGAGTTCTAATGTAAGTGATTCACCATCCAACTCCCACTCATAGTAACCCATAATGTTTATCTCATGATGCTTCCCAATTAACACCCTTTGAACCATATCACCCCAAAGGACCATCATAACCTTTTTCATCAACATATTCTGAAAGTTTAAACGAGGTTGTTAAAACTTGTTGAAATGTCCAAGGTAAAAAAAATGAGGGTGAATTGATATTTTAAAATCTTTTATTTCCAAAAACGTTTCTTTCAAAAAATTTTATCCAAATGCACAAGCGGAAACAAACAACAAATTATCAAATAAACTTGTATTTTTTAAATTTTTTAGAAAAATGAATATATAGATATTTTAGTTTTATTTTATTTTTAGATTTTTTTTCAATTTTTTTCTTACTCACAAAAATAAATTCAAAGAAATCACAAAACTTTCAATCCAGATTTTCATATATATAATTTATAGGAAATTAAAAATATGAATCCTAAAGTATTAAATAAAAAAAAATGAGCACACCTAAAATTTTATAATGCTTCAATAAAACATTGACCTACGTCCACTCTCCAGGAACAAAAAGAAATTGTTGCCATAAATAATTAAGGTATTCTGTATTTTTGGTAATCGGCCAGGATGATCTAGGATCGGCCTGGACGATATTCACAAATTATGCCTTAATTGATCAGACAATCAAGGCAGTAATTAAGGATGATTGATATGATCACATCATCCTGGATGATATCAAGATTGGCCGGGATGATCTAGTCAAAAAACCTTAGTTACTCTTAGACGATCTGAATCGGACAACATGAATTCAGGGCGATGTTCTAGACGATTTTCCTCTGATTTGAACTGATCAGCCGGGACGATCAAGCTAATTTTCAATCGTCCAGTTTGCATTCAGGGCGATGCTCTGGCCGATCTCATGGGATTTGTACTGATCGGCCAGGACGATTTCCATATAATCCTGGACGATATAGTCTGCAACTTGCAATTAATGAGCTCCTTTGAAGCTCTTCTATTTAAGAGCTCTTGTTCAACATTTTTGAACATCCTTGGCTACTGTCTTGACCTGAGAAAATCTAAATGAGAGAGAAAGAGAGAGAGAGGATCTTGTGAGGGGGAGCTTGTGAGGGGATTCACAAGGGTTTCTCCAAGCAATTTTCCACTTCTTCTTCCCTAGAGTATCTTGTCCTTGGAAGGGTTGGGAGAGGTAAGTTCTAGCAAGCAATCGAGGTTCTCTGCCTGCTTCAGGAGGAAGCAAAAGGAGGAAGGTTCTCTGCCTTGCCGGTTGTGGCAAAAAGAGGTGTTTGTAAAGGTTTCTCCGCCTAGCTGTAGGGGCTAAAGGAGAGTCATGATTGTAGTGAAATACTCGGAGGGCGCCTCCGGGGAGTGGACATAGGTCGAGTTGACCGAACCACTATAAACCTTTGTGTTCTTATTTTTTACTGCTTCCGCATTTATTTTCTTCCGCACTTAATTTTTTGTGGTCATTTGGTTTGTATTCGTGCTTTGCCTAAAGAATTTTTTAAAATACCAATTCACCCCCCTCTTGGTTAGCCTTGGGCCAGTTCTATAGGGCTTAACATCCCTAACAAACTTTCATCTCTCTCTCTCTCTCTCTTAAAAGTTTGGCAGGGATGTTAAGCCCTAATGAACTAGTCCAAAGGCTAACCAAGAGGAGGGGGGTGAATTAGTATTTTAAAAAATTCTTTAAGCAAAAGCACAATCACAATCAAACTAAGATTTACCATAGTAATCAAACTTCATAACTTAATTGCAGAAGTATAATAAGAAAGAATGCACTGGATTTTATAGTTGTTCGGTCAACTTGACCTACGTGCTCTCCCTGGAGCCTCTCCTCCAAGTATTGCCCTAAACAAAGAGTCTCTCCTTTTTCCCCCACAATAAGGCAGAGAATCCCGTACAAAAACTCCTTTTCACCGACCCCGGTGAGACAGAGAACCCAACTCCTTTTGCTTTCTCTTGAAGCAGGCAGAGAACCCAATTCCTTTTGCTTCCTCCTGAAGCAGGCAGAGAAACTCGATCAGATGCTGAAGTAGACCTCTCTAGAATCCCCAAGGAACTAGGGATGACGACTGGAGAAGATGACAATGGATCCTTTATTGGAGAAACCTTTGTGAAACCCCTCACAAAGTCCCCCTCACAAGATCCTCTCTGTCTCTCTCTTGCTCTCCCCTTCCTTTTGGAAATCTCAGGTTAGGACAGCAGCAAAAGGTTTCTCTTTGATAAAATAAGAGAGCTTTTAAATAAGGGCTCTAAATAGCCCTAATTAGCAACTAATCATGAAATATCATCTAGAATGATCGACTGATCATCCTGTATGATTAGTTCAACTTGATGAATATCGGCCAGACCATCGCCTTGGATGGATGTCTGGATGATGGAAAAATGAAAAGATCATCAAGGACAATCTCACGATCATCCAGGTTGCTTAATACAAAATGATGATTATTGTCCAGAACATCACCCTGAATGGATGTCTAGATGATGAAAAAATAACTTGATCATCTAGGACAATCTCCTAATCATCCCGGACGATTAGTTCAATTCAATACATTTCATCTAGAGCATTACCCTGAATGGAACCAGGACGATATTTAATCATCCATGAAGAACTAAGGTTTGTGAACTATTCATTCTGGCCTATCATGCAATCATCCAGGATGATATAATCGAGCAATCAAACCTTAATTGCTTTCCTTAATTATCGGATTAATATAGGCATAATTGTAATGTATCGTCTAGGATGATGCCTACAAATAAAAGATACCTAAATAGATCTGGTGGCTGATTCTTTCTGATTTGAGCCTATCATCCTGGCCAATATTAATATCATCCAAGACGATTATCTTATTTACGTCTGCCTTAACCAAGATGCCCTAATTTGAGTTTCTATTTTTAATTGAATTTCTAGGCCAATTTTTGAATCATCCCGAATGATGTGCTTAAAAATAGAAAACTCTAAAATAGTCAGAAATTTTCTCCCAAGTGTGTGTGTGTGCAAGGTTACTTAACATCAGGACTCACATTGTTATAAAGAACTAAAAAAAAAAGGTAAAAGATGCACGTCGTACATTACAAACTGGCTAAATCCTATTCTACCCAATCATGAGTTGGTTCAATTTGCATTTTGATTGCGTGGACCTAAAATGTTAGTAGGCAAGGCAGTCATAAGGAAACAGAAGTGTTTTTTATCATCAAAATTTTATTTCCTAAAAATAGATTCGTAATAATCTCCTCTTTTTGATGATGACAAACTTAAAAACAATTAAAACAAATCAAAGCAATTCAATATAAACATTATGAAACCAAAATTTCAAATTTTATTAAGAAATAACACAGTACAAAAAA